TGTTTGCTCCTTCTTTCAATCTCTCCCTCCCTCTCCCTCTCCCACCTGTCTTTCCGTCGCTATTTGGACTTTGCCACAGATCTCTATCCTTAATTGAAATTTGTGTTGCCTCAGCATTCAAACCGTTTACTTCTTAGGAGGAACCACTTAACATGGATGGAAGATTACTTTGTTCTTGATAATGCTCTAACGAAGAGTCAATTTGAATAATGCAAGTTTCTTTTACTTGTGATGCCGGGTTCTTCTACTTCCTCCTCTCCTTCATTCTATCATTGGCCTCTTCGTATTTGCAACGACTTGAGTCGAGCAACACACACTCCTGACACGATTAGACTAAGCGATCCCATGTGCACTTGGGAATTCTGAAGGAAGTGGTGGTTCATGCAGAGCACTTCTCGGCTAATCACACATTCATGTTCATTCAAGTCAAGTTGAGTAAATTCCTTTGCAAATTGTGTTTCCTATGAGAATCCCTTCGACTAATGCCACACTCTCTATTCATCTCTTTCTCCTATGTCGTTGAGGTAACTCATCTCATTTCACCAGCCCTTTCGTACTAAGACATTTCGTCATAGAGATCACTGGGATTAGGTCAAGACTACACTGTGTATCTATCATTTTGAAAGTGGTGCAGCTAAGTTTCGTGAAAACAGACACACGCGAAGAATTTGTGAAGAGCTGTAAGCAATTTCCATTTGACTGATGGAACACAAGGAAATTGTACTGAAAATGCAGATCAATAGGCTTGGAAACGTTAACACGATCTTTTTGGAAGTCATTTACAAGTGTTATGATGATGCGAATTCCTTTGTAACAGTTGAGCCAATCGAAGCTAAAAGTCACCATCATAATGCGTTATATACTGAGGGCAGATTATCCATTTCGGAATGTTGAAAGTACCATGAAACTCTGATGTTGCTAAGCAGATGACGAAATTGTTATTGGGCTTAGCAGTACAAAATGCCATGTTGGAGGCGACCCGAAAGTCTAAATGCATGCACACAGAGAGCTATACAGCAGATAAATTTCGTGCTTGGAATCTAAAATAAGGTCAGTCGAGAGACACAATTGATAGTGCATCGAGGTCAATTTCAGGTCAACTATCCACCAATTATCATCTTTAAACCAATCAACATCGAGTAATTGGTTAATAGACCCATCGTTAATTATATGTTTTCATAATTTCGAAAGTGTGGCTGCTGTTCGTAGCGTGCGTTAACTCTCTGTGATGGCAGATAAGAACACGACTGGTAAGTTGGCGAAGGTGCTACAAATTAGAATGCTTGAATGCGTGTCATTTGGCTCAATTCTGTCGAATACTTTCGAATTGGTGAAATAAATTTTCATTTGATTTCAGAGTCAAGAAAAGTTCGGGTACGTCCTTTGAAGGAACTTTGTGCCAAAAAAGTTGTTAAGACCTACGGTGGCATAGATACACGTTGGCTTCAATATGTCTCGGGGAAATTGCATTGGGATTATATCCAGTCTGTACCTGAGTGTGAGGAGAAGGTGTCTGATGATGTGCCACCTAGGGAAAAAGAGAAGTTCGACCGACTCGATCATAATTGCCGAAAAAAAGATAATTGTGGCCGTGAAGTGACCAAGTTCACGTATTTGGGGGGGAAGAATTTAATTGGTTTCCGTTCCGATGGTGATGATGACGATGATGCCGCTGATGGCAGTGGTAGTGGTGGAGAATGCGGGGAGGACGAGACAGATGAAGTAAATTCTAGTGAAGAAGAGGACTGCGACAAACCCGGATGTATTTGTAGGGAAGCAGACAAAAGGGATGGGAATTCTCGAGATTCCGATGCTGATGATGAGTGTGAGGATGACGACGTGTCCGATGATGCAACATCCAGTGAAGAAGTCTTCGACGAATACCGATATCTTTGCATAGAACTCGACATTCGCAACAATGGAGTGGTTGATGTTTCACATTGTTGGATAAGTTATCCACTTCATTCCGATACTGATGATAATAACTACGAGTCCGACGATTCAACATCATGTGAAGAATTGTTTGATAAACGCCGATTTCTTTCCTTAGAACTCAGAATGCGCAACAATGAAGTGGTTGATGTTTCAAATTTTTGGATAAATAGTCTAAGTGATTTCGATACTGATGATGATGATAATGATGAGTGTGCGGATGAGGATGACGAGTCCGATGAAGTAACATCCAGTGAAGAGGTGTTTGATGAACGCCGATTTCTTTGCACAGAACTTGACATGTGCAACAATGAAGTGGTTAATGCCTCGCATTATTGGACAAATGATCCACTTGATTCCGATACTGATGATGATGAGTGTGACGAGTCCGAAGATGCAGCATCCAGTGAAGAAGACGAGTTCAACGAACGCCCGTTTATTTGTGGCATTGAGTTGACTTATGTACCTCTAATTTTGTCCATAGTTGCTCTTCTTTTTATTGTCTATTCTAGTTTTTATGTTTATCTTATTTGATGAAATTGCATTCAATAAAATTTTCAATGGCATTATTAAAGTTCTCAAATATGACACTAAAAATAATACAAGCCTTTTTGACTTCTAAAATATGCCATGTTTGAGGTGACCTGAAAGTCCAAATGTATGCACACAGAGAGCTAAGTAGCAGATAACTTTCATTCTTATTCTATTGGAATTAAAATGCGCTTTGGAAATCTAAATTAAGTTCGGTTGAGCCACGCTATTGAAATTGCATCGAGGTCAATTTCAGGTCAACGTTGTATCAATTATTATTATCTTAAAACTAATCAAAATCGAGTGATTAGTATGTGGACCCAGCAGATAACTTTCATTCTTGTTCTATTTGAATTAAAATGTGCTTTGAAAATATAAATTGAGTTCAGTTGGGCAACACTATTGGAATCGAATCGAGGCCGATTTCAGGTCAACTATCCACCAATTATCATCTTCAAACCAATCAACATCGAGCAGTTGATATGTGAACCCATCGTTAATTATGTGTTTTCATAATTTCGAAAGTGTGGCTGCTGTTCGTAGCGTGCGTTAACTCTCTGTGATGGCAGATAAGAACACGACTGGTAAGTTGGCGAAGGTGCTACAAATTAGAATGCTTGAATGCGTGTCATTTGGCTCAATTCTGTCGAATACTTTCGAATTGGTGAAATAAATTTTCATTTGATTTCAGAGTCAAGAAAAGTTCGGGTACGTCCTTTGAAGGAACTTTGTGCCAAAAAAGTTGTTAAGACCTACGGTGGCATAGATACACGTTGGCTTCAATATGTCTCGGGGAAATTGCATTGGGATTATATCCAGTCTGTACCTGAGTGTGAGGAGAAGGTGTCTGATGATGTGCCACCTAGGGAAAAAGAGAAGTTCGACCGACTCGATCATAATTGCCGAAAAAAAGATAATTGTGGCCGTGAAGTGACCAAGTTCACGTATTTGGGGGGGAAGAATTTAATTGGTTTCCGTTCCGATGGTGATGATGACGATGATGCCGCTGATGGCAGTGGTAGTGGTGGAGAATGCGGGGAGGACGAGACAGATGAAGTAAATTCTAGTGAAGAAGAGGACTGCGACAAACCCGGATGTATTTGTAGGGAAGCAGACAAAAGGGATGGGAATTCTCGAGATTCCGATGCTGATGATGAGTGTGAGGATGACGACGTGTCCGATGATGCAACATCCAGTGAAGAAGTCTTCGACGAATACCGATATCTTTGCATAGAACTCGACATTCGCAACAATAAAGTGGTTAATGCTTCGTCTTATTGGATAAACGATTCACTTGATTCCGATACTGATGATGATGATGACGAGTCCGATGAAGAAATATCCAGTGAAGAAGACGAGTTCGACGGACCCTGTTTTGGTTGCAGCATTGATATGGATAGTATACCAGTCCATTTTATTTATGTACCTATGCTTTTGTCTATGCTTGGTCTTCTTCTACTCATATAATTTTATATGTCTATCCTTTTTGCTGAAATTGGATTCAATAAAATTTTCAATGGCATTTTTGAAGTTCTCAAATGTGGCACTAAGTATAATGCAGGCCTCTCGGACTTCTAAAATTAATCTTATCGTGGTTATTCGGCCGATGTCACTTCTTCCAATGATGATGGCGGTAATGAGATTGATGATTCTCATAGCCCAGACTTATAGTAAGGTGTTGTCTTCGAAAATGGCAGAGCTTCCATCGACGATTGCAATTATGGTGACTCGAGATATGTCACTTCTTCTTCCTCTTCCAATTATAATAAATAGTATGATTGAGATAATGATAGTGAATGAGGTCAGAATATGTTGGCTTGCAGAAACCTGCCCCTTGATTCTTTAACTGGCCATCATACTTTCAAATGAGAAGCTTTAAATTCCAGCTTTCATAAATAGGTCTCAATAGTTTCTATCGAATACCAGGCCTTATGATAGTGAGGGGAGGAACATCGAAGTTGCACAAAGTGGAGAGGGGAAGAGAAGTGAGATTCACAGATGTAAAAGAGACAGACAGGCAGGCAGAGAGAGACAGACACAAAGGTAAAGAAAATGGTAAGCTGAGTACTGTAAAATTGGTCCAATATAGGATACAGTTGGGTCATGGTAGTTTGAAGTCAGCTGTCGGTTTGTAGTCTTTTATTGCCGCATGAGTAAGAGCTCTTCAGGCGCCATCACGTGGAATCTAGTCTATCGTGCACCCAAATCTCAGAAAAGTTGCTCACTTTTAAAGCTTGCCTTGAAAACCCACAGATAAATGAGACTACGGCCCAAGTAGATCGCCGCTTCAATTGCTCTACTAAAACGCCTTTTCACTAAATCCTTAGTGTTGCCATATTTTCCTTAGAAATCGGCCTGTTTGTCTTCATGGTCGATTTATCAACCAGTAAAAGTTTAGTTCTAAATGTAATTGAGGAATCCCATCACACTCTGGGAGTCTTCTCACTCATTCAGAATGAGCTTTGTTTCACGTTACAATAACTCTCTTTCTTCTGATGAACACTCCGTCTTGCATAAAATGGGGACTCCGGATTTTGTGCACTTTGTTCCTCTGCACTCCCCTTCCTGACTACTAAATTACTACCAATCTCGTCTACCCATTCTTGTCCAAAGCTGGAGATGTGCGCGTATTGAGTGCTATCACCAAGTTCCAGATATCGTGAGCAAGTCGCCTCCAGCCAATCAATGCATTTACAGCATTAGGATTTTCCGCATAGAATGCACAAATGCGTTACTCACTCGAATATGATTAAGTGCACTTCTGCCTCTCTTGGTCAAGATGGCTCCAATCAACTCGGGAAATTTACCAAAACTAATAGACCCTGTCGATGTCAGAACACATAGAAGATATGAGAAAGCCAGACTCCCCTCTGCCCATCTAATCAGTCTAAAATGAAGCAGTACAATATAAATAATATAATTTGTAGGTGGAAATGGAACATTTATTTCAAATGGCAGGCTTTATGATATTTATCATTAGCCCTTAAACTTTGACTTCAGCTTCCCCCAAGGGTGGGGGGTACATTTATAGCAGTTAATTAATAGCAATTCATTAGCTGTCTTCTTGCTTCCCAGTATCTCTGACTTTCCGTCCTTGTCTTTAGGGTTGGACATCGAATCAGGTGGGTCTTCTCCATTTCCTCCTGTAGGTTACATAGAGGACATGTGGGTTGAGTGTATACTCCCAATCTATGAAGGTGTTTTGCCAAGCAATCGTGTCCGGTACGCAGTCTAAACTCAGCAACGCCTTCGATTCTTGGCCAGTCGGCTATGTCGGAGAGTGCCACTGTCCACTGTTTCTCCTTTGTTCGAGTTTTGAGTTAGTTGCACCTTGAGGTCTGTAATTCTCTTCTGATTAAGGCTTTCATTGTGTGGAAAGATATCGGCCGGTCCATGCATTGCAAAATCGCTGTCCCCTTCTTACCAGGCGGTCCATGCATTGCAAAATCGCTGTCCCCTTCTTAGCAAGTGCATCAGCAAGCTCATTGCCTTTAATGCCACAGTGACCAGGAATGCATCGTAGGACCACTGTTTTATTTTTTTCTCTCAGCAGCTGATAGAGTTTGGAAATGGAACATAACACTTACTATTGGCCAACAGTTATATTTTTGTGTGTGCTTGAGAAGTTCTTAATTTCCAATTTTTTTAATTCCTTTTGTTCGGACGAATTCATTCGTGTCATGGTGGTGGATCGATGCGAATCTTGCGCGTTCAGCTTTGTTTGGACGTTTTTTGCAGGCGTCATACATTGAACTGCTGCCAAAATGCATTCTCTAGCATGTGCAGCTTCTTGTTGAGAAAAGAATACAATGAAAATGTGCTAATGGACCTCTCCGCTATCATTTCTGACATCCATTACCACAAACAAATTTTGCAACACCGTTTTACATTAACATTCTGCAAATAACGATGCATGGAGACAGCCTATTAATTAACACCTATCATCAAAGGTTAACTTTCAAGCCACGAAGACACCCCCCCCCCCCCAATTCTTCTAAAATATCTTTATTCAACACACGTCGGCAAATTAGACGAAAACAAGCAGCCGAATTTAACAAATGACGCACAATGTGTGAGAAATAAAGTCAATCAACGGGATATGGTAGAGGGAAGAGTAGGAAGTAAAACCAAAGGAGGGCCGTCAATCACGCCCAAACAGTGGAGTTTCCACTGCCACCAGGTCCACTAGCCGCCGTTCCGCCGCCGCTGCAGCTACTTCCCCCTACAATGTTGTTGCCAGAACTACCTCCCCCACGAGCCCGTGAGATTGTCACATTAATGCCTAGACTTCCATTGTCAGCAAAGAGCTGGGCCATTTTGGAATCGAAGACGAGGCAATCGGAGGCATCTATCGCCGCTTGGACACCGTCGTGGATACTTCGGGGAGTAGCTTCCCAGGTGAGACGTCTTTTCGATGCAGTTAGGTCCAGCCTATTCAAGGAACCCAATGAAACTCGAATCAACGCAATAAAATTAAGAATTCAAATATGTACGTGTAAAATTATGGCTATTTCAAACTTAAAAGCCATTGGATTCGAGGTTATTCGCTATTTGAGATTTTCAATTGAGCAGATTACGTGTTAAATACATGAACTTCCTTATTGTTTTTGCGAATACAAATTCATATTATATGTTTTTATTCTCCGTCTGATCTACTTAATAATTTGCTAATTTTCATATTGCAGAACAGGAAGAAATAGACCTTAACAGAAGAGGAGAACGAAACAAGGACTTCCTTATTCCAAATTAACTTCTCTTGAGTTAAGTCGTTGTTGAATTTAAAGCCCTCTTTGCACTTAATGCCTTCATGAGTGGATATCTTTGCTATTCACCTCTTGGCTAGATTTTGATATTGAAGACTAATTGCACTGAATGCTCACGGTTAGGAAAGGAGAGTTGCATTCACATATATTTCCACTAACACCATTCAAAAGCCAGACTTAGTTAGCTTAGACAGCAATAGAAAACAAGCATCTCAAATTGCGACACCACCTCCCCCCATCACAACTGCAAAACACGCACCTTCTTGACCCTGTTGAGAGTCAGAACATAACACACATGCAAGATGATTGCGAAGCAACTTTCTGTGAGGACATGCAGGCATTCAAGTGTGTGTACTTTAGATAATACAGTAGCATGCAATAAAGTGCGTGAGATTATCAAACTATTCATTCAAAAGTAAAGAGAGTGATGGATAAGTATAAAAGACCGTCAAGGAGCGCCATGCAAAACTCGAGGGCAAGGGATATGTATAGTGAAGAAGCGTTAGACAATCAGGTGCCTCGGTGGCGCTAATCACTAGCCGTTTCCTGGTGCGGATGACCACCCATCTCGGCTAAAATTCCGATCAACAATAGTGACGCCACAATATGGAGATATATTTTCTCCCTATACAATTCAAGTGCTGCCAACACTTTCACCTATGGGCTTAGGATGTGTGTAATGGAGAAAGTGAAGGCGGATGAGTATACACCCACTTTTTGACACGTTCAATGCGATGGCCGAAACCACCGACTGCCCGCTGGTATGATTATGCTTGGGTTACACTACAGCGTCCGTGCCACTCGAGATTTGGAAGCATTCAAATTAAAGTAGTTTCTATTATTATTATTTCAAACCTTGATATTATATCATCAACAAGGACCCACCGGTGCATCGTATCGTCCTCTCAACGTGTTAACCAAAATTGAATCCTAAGTGTGATTCCCCAACGCAATGCTTCATAAGCTTCAATTCACTCTCAATTAAAATTCCGAGCTAAACCTCGGCTCATTATACATATAATACTCCATAGGACCAAAAGCAAAAGACCCTTTTTTCCTAAAAAAAACAAAGTCAGCAGGTTCACAACCATCGTAATAATAACAATAATGTAGATTTCATTGGGTTCTTGCCGGTTTTTACAAACAACCTGGGAAATAGAGTTAAAACTTAACCTGAGTGGACTTCAAGAAAGATCCACAAAGACCATAAGGTAGGCTGGGACTGAGAAACGCCAGTACAAGAAAAACACAAGAGCAATTAAAACCCCTTAAACGGCACCCATAAAACGTGTATTTGCAATAAAAAAGTGCGATAAATTCATTCAGTTTATTCATTTAAATAAATTCCCTTGTGCAGTAGAGACACAGCGATTTAACGAGATAAATTGAGAAAAAATGAACCCTTTATACAATTAGAGGACTTGGCTTTGCCCATATTTGGCCATTATTTATCGCTAACACAAATGGAGTTAGCAGTAAAGAGTCCTAAGGGTAAAATAGAGTGAAAAGGAGTGTGGATTCGAATTAAGGAAAATCGGCACACAGTAGAAGAAACCATGACCAGAAGGCTAATACGAAGTTAACAGTGTGAGTTTGCAAGTCCATTAAGAGAAGTGTTCACGACACATGGAATAAGTAAAGGTGTTTTATAATCACGCCTGAGACAAACTCACAATCCACTACCACCGTTATTTGGGCAGAACTAACAAGGACTCCTGATCACACATCACTGGATGTGTAGCGATGATAATTGATCTCGTGTCCTTCGACTCGGCAGAAGACCACGTTGGCTAACGTAACACCGACATAGAGTAGAACTAAAGGGCTTTGTCGGACTAGTTGGAGGGGATCTTAGAACACCTTAGGTGGCGTAAAAGTGATTGTCAAAATATCAACAGGCTTGAATGAAACCGAAGAGTATCAATGAATTCCACAAACAGCATGAATTTAAATCGGTGATTTGGAAGGGTTAGAAGACATTAATAAGACAAGAGTCCAAGTAAAAAACTAAAATCCACATCAGAGAGGCTACTAACAAAGTACCCTGATCTGGAGTGACTGTTTTTAGAATCACAAAAAAACCATGCAGAATCCTGTGCTCTTTAAAAGAACACTGGGAGACAACACTGGGTAGGTGTGATCAAATGTTGACCCAACATTAGTAATTATAGTGGTGGGAAAAAAACGGGTGCAAACAGCACATTAAATCCTATTTTAAACCAATTGTGCTTCTAATTACTTCTTAGCATAGGCAAGTAAAAGAGTGACTAAACAATTTCATGGCAACTTGAGTGCAGTCTAAGACCTTACAACTGATGTTGTCGGGATTAAAATAAAACTGTTCAAATTAATGTGTCTATAATGTGAGAGGTCACGAGATCAATATTATTTAATATAGACTTACCGAACGGAGTGACTAACTGCTGTGGCTAAATTTAACTGATAAACCGGCAAGTCGATAGAATGTCAGACAATCGAGGATAATGGGGCTGTTGTATCCTGTGCTGCTAGGAGTTAGGAAGCTGATTCGTTTTGTGAGGGACTATCTGTAAGCTTCGTTCGACTGGTGAATTTTGGAGCAGATGGAAGTGTCAAATTTATTACCGAGGAAAAATGCCCAATACATGGCAACGTTAATCCTCTAGCAAATGTTTGGAATACAGCTTTCATGAGTGTTAAAAACCTCAAAAAAGGCCATACATCTTTCACTTTTGACATTCTATTCACAGCAAAAAAAGAATTGAAAACTAAGTTGCATTGAGCTAAAAAGCTAAGCGGAAACGAATCCGCTTATGTTAAGAAAGGACTTACGAGTGGGCGATTAAAGCAAACCAAAAGCGCTTGGGAACCGTAATCACATTAAACAGGGTCATGACAATTTGCCCAGTTGGACTAACAATAAACTCCAAGCAACGCTTAAAATCGCCTTAGGGAAAGAAGCCCACACACACCCCCCGACATGTGCTGGCGAAAAATCACATTTAAATTTAATAAAAGAAAGAAAGCTCATGCTACTAATATAGCTGAGGGCGAGACAAATGGAATACACATCACGTGAGTTTATAAAGCACAAATTTACTTCAACCAGAAAGTGAGAAAACATGCACACTATGCAAGAACAGTGTGAAAAGAGGCAAGGCATTATTGAAATACGCTAATCAGCTTAGATGGGACAAATCCGGTCTTTAAAAATAGCTGATAAATAGTCTATTTCCAGCTCATACTACTTAAAAATGACTTCAGTAATTTACTTGTAGACGAATTGATCGGCCTGTTTCTTGGTCCCAATGAGGAGGACGAGGGCAAAGAAGGAGGAAACGCGTTCCTGTTTCTCCAGGACAAGCATGAAGTAGTGTCCGAAACAGGACTGCATCATCACCCAATCCACCGCCCCGGGTAGTGTGATGTCCGTTGCCAAAAACACAATATCCTCGCCTGCAAAAGTGGAAAACAAAAAAACAAAATAGCAAAGCATGAAAGCCAGTAAAAGCAATCGACTGAGTGACGTGGATTTCAACGACCAAGAAGTCTGCGATAGTACTTTTGAAAAGCCTCCTTTTAAACGCTCATTTTGCATAGAGAGAAAAAGAGAGCACTTGCTAATTAAATATTTGATCAGTATTAATCTGTAAGGGAAATTCCCTCCAACCATTGGCATTTATATTAAGGAGTCTAGAACTATTGTCCATAAACTCCACGGATATTACCTGGTTTATGGTTAGATTTTAGAATTCAAACAGAAAGAGGATTTAGCTCACCTTGTAAAGTGGTGATACTCTTGTGGCTTTGAAGTAAATGTGGCATTACTTGATCCAATTGGCCAAGCCATTTGCACGAAGTTCCTGGACATGGACAACTGTAGGGTCTGAAAAAGGAGGAGACGCAAAATATGGCTTCAAATTAAATACGCCATTAGGAACTAGGATTAAAATCTACCTCCCTGAATCCCTTCCAGAAAGGCGCAACACAAAAAAACATATGAAAAAACGACAAACATTAAGTGATGTAGTTCTAAAAACTCCAATCCAATTTAAATTATATTAAATGGGAAGAAAGACACAAAAGCAAATAAAAAACACTTAAACCACCAATGACTCCAAACTTGCAGATCTGGGAAGTTAACTTATTCATAGGGGGGACAAATAAATGAAGGAGGGGGAGGGAGAGAGATAATCTTACAATGAGGTGGCTCAAATATGTTATTTATATCATAATTTAGTAACTACAAAACTCCACTTAAGGCGATGCATTTCAAAGAGAAAGGGTTCGATATTCACCAGTACATAGCCCGTAATTAGAATACTTAACTACGATGGTTAGTCATCACCATCGGCCCCTTGAACCAAAAAAAATATGACTGAAATTGAATAACTTCAGAGGGATTATAGGACGCCGTTTCTTCAAGGCATCATCAGAAAAGATGTTCACTTAAAATGCTCCAAATTTGCAATCTGGAACAAGTCTTATCCAATCAAATCGGCAGAGATTCAAATTAATACCTACTCTTGGAAAATTAGTCAAGAATGAGCGCTTGAAAATAAACGTGAACCATCAAATCCAGCTCCAGTCCAATTATTGCCTGGCTACTTTATAAAGACCGAAGCTAACACAAATGCCGAACATAAGAGGTGATAACTAATGAGATGCTCAATAAACCTGAAGTGACTCACCTGTGTTCGCAAATAGCCTCATGCTCGGCCTTGGCAGTGTAATGGAAGGTCTCTGTGCACCCAGTTACGGCGTATTTGCAGGGGAAGAGAATGGTAGCTGCCAACTTCTCCATTGCCAAGTTGCGAATATTTTCTATACCAACAAAAAATTGGATTGAGCAGGGCATGCATCATAAACTGCTTGATTGTCACTCAAATGATGAGTGAGTTTTTAAGGTAAGTCAAAAGATTACTTAATGATTGAAACATTAGGAACCTTGAAAACAAATAATCTAATTAGAATCCAACATGCCGAGAAAGATGACCTCAGTACTATTTTTAACAATCATGCATATCCCTCTGGACTAAGAAAGCCTTATAAACGAAATGATGTCAATGACCTTCATATAAACATCTGGGCAGAAATACTAATCAGAAAGGCGACTATGTGGTGAATTTTAATCTTGAAAGGTATACATTAAATTTATGCGACTGACTGCGCACCTCATACGACGTTCAACATGTTTTCATTTACAAGTTATCATCATCACAGAGTACCAATCATTGATTCGTCAAAGTCACTAATGATTCTTCCCACCCTACTGATTGGCATCCCTACTTACCATAGCAAGCTCCAGACGATTCTGCGTCATCTACTCATGTATCTTATCCTACTCCATATTTGACATAGTTAAAAGCCCGAATCTCCCCTCAATGAATAGTTTGGCACGCTACAGTCTCCCTATGGGACATTATGAGCTACTAATGCATTTATCCAATGCACATTAACTTTAGAGTTTTAAATTATTTTCCTCAGTAAAACCGCATTAAGCCAGCTTATCCATGCTCATCACTTATCTAAACGCGAACTTGTACCCAGCATTTTAGTAAATGGTCCTTTCAAACATAGAGTATCTGAAGGAATACCATCAAAATGATTCACTCCTTCTAGATTTAACAACATGGAACAAGAGTAACCACACTAATAGGGAGTTCAAAAACATTAACTTTGTTTAATGCAAATCGAGAACTAGTAATACGTAAACGCAAAAGGAGACTACAGTTGCCAAGATTAATGGTAAAATCATGAACTCGTGAACGTACCAAGATTTCCACGACAAGTTGGACATGAGGAAAGTTTGCTACGACAGCTGGCGCACACGATGTGTCCACTCTGACACTGTAAAATCGGCGGTAGAGCAAAGTCCATGCACACTGGGCATTCAAAAAGACTGACCAGATCCATCGAGTTATTCGCACCGGGTGGATCTTGCCCAGCCCCGGTAGGTTGAGGTCTCTCGGGACCATTTGGTGGCAGGGCAGCAGTTGCAGCAGTAATTGGAGTCACAGAGACGGAGGCTGGATGATTAACTACACCATTGCAACAGACGGCATTGTTATTACCACCACTTTTACAACCATTGTCCGAACCGCCACCGTTTCCACTACCAGCAGCTGCATCAAAATCGAAGAGGGCTGCCGAAGCTGCTGGACGCTGCTGCTGATGAGGAATAGCCGAAGTAGATGTTCCACCTACGAAATGTCTTTCCACGGAGGCGGCTGTGACAGAAACATTTCGATGCGACGAAGTGGGTCGAGCTGAGGGCTCAGCAGCGACTATCGAAGTCGGTCGATCTGACCCAGCGTGCGAAAAGGATGAATTCATAGCCACTATAATATAAAGAAAATAGTAGTTAGTATTCAAACCTTGCGCACAAACGGTCCACCAAAGAAAGTCAACGTCTTCTACTTTTAAGCGATATCAAAAATTTTATTAGTAATAATGAAGCCAAGCGTTCATCGAACAAAAGAGGAAAGGAAAGAAATCGTAAAGAGATCAAATACACTTAATTCATACCATTATGAAATTTGCGTCAACAAACTAATACACACTAGAAACATAAGTAAATTCAGAAGAAAAACAACGTTAGTTAAAATAAATCTTGAAACAAGGAATTTTAAAGTAAACAGTAGGAAAAATAAACACGAGTTGCTCGAAAAAATTCAAGTTGAAATTGAAAACTGAACCCAAATATGACATCAAAACTACACAACAGTGGAAATTATAAATATATTTTTAGTTTAGAAAGAAAAATTAATAGTTAAAAAGCCTACATTTCTTAATTTGCTTGATATTCCATAAATGCGACACTAACACTCATACAGTGCGGCGTTAATGGAAGAACTTAAAATGCCGAAATTTCATTCTTTTTTTTTGAATCCAAACATTTTCATTAACTTTATGTTTTAACTAAAGATTTTAAATATGCTATGAAGTTACAAATTGTCAAATTACGGGAAGTAATTTGAATTTGTTGTTGGTATTCTACTTGAAAACCTTTTCATAAAATATACGGCCGTAAAACGATTTCACTCTTGGCTCGTGAACAAAGAACGGTTGCAGGCTATTTATTGTGATTTTAGTTTTTCTAAATACTGTAAGGGAGTTTTCATTCCTCGAAAACCTCTGGTGGTGTTATTTGTTTTGATAATATGGACAGATAAAAATTTTGCATTAGAAAGACAGGGTTTAGACCATATATGCCTTAAGCATTTAACTTCTTTGATTTTATAACTTTTGTGATTAGGATAACCTGTTTATCAGAATTATCTTCTTGTTTCGTTTAAATCAATCTAATTCCATGTTCTCTGTTTTAAATTGCTTGCATTTTTTAGGAGTTGTTTTACTCATTTTGAGATAGTCGTTGATTTTTCTCAAAGTAAGTTAGCCTTGAATTTGAGCATGACTTTGCAAAAGTTTTTTCCTAAGATTCATTTAACTGAATTGCCGTGGATCTCTCAATCAAATTATGAGAATTAAGAATATGCAGCCTCCTTTACATGGGATCATATTTGAATTGTCCTGAATCCATTGGTACCGGGGTTCTCCGAAAATCCTCCCAGGGCTGTTAAACGGAAAGTCTATTTTATGAAACTATTTTTGGAATAGAATAACCGCCCATGGGCGATAATACGCAAGTAAAATATTTCACCTAAGGAGAACATATATATGTATATATATATATATATATATATATATATATAATTCGCCTATTCGGGTGAGTGGGCGTTCGGAAAACCCCGGTACTAAAATCAGGGTCTATATCAGGCGATTCATGCCACGTTTGGCCGTATTTTTTTAAATTATGGTACATACACTCTTGAACCGTATTTTGGAACTATAATCTAAAACTTACCAATAACAAATAATTTATAGATCACCTATAACACTTAGATATATCGATTCACCAGCCTCACTCACTTGCCATTTAACACCTGCTGTTATGCCGTCCGCCATTAGTTTCAAACGACACTTAAATGCCAAATCCTTGGTACTTATAAATTTAAAGTAGTATAGAATTTTCATATTCTGGGCAACTTTCGAATGACTACGAGAAAATACCCCATTGTGGCAATTCATCAATTATCATCTCCAAAATTTATAGCCTTATAAACACCTAATTCGATTGTTGTTATTCTTCTTAAGTCCTGGATATGACCGGACATCCAAATTTTTCAAACGCTAAGTGTAGCTCTGTATTAATTCGAATTTTCCAATTTCCAAATTCATTGCTTTCCGAGAGGTTTATTACCAGCTTGTCCAAAAGTATTCAAGCAAAATGACGAGATATCTTAAAAGCTAAGTATTGGAAAATTTTTTTAGCGAATCGAAACCATTCTAATTTAATGAAGCTATTGTTTGTATAAACAGATTAAAAGGAAGTTGTTTGAGCATTCAAGCGTATCCTATACCGACCTAGGGAACAGTTGAAGAATTTATTATTCAAACGAGTTTTCATGGACAGGAATATTCGGTAAAACGTAAACCGGAACGAAATATTTCATCATTCATCCACGAAATTTCATCATTTTGAGCGTGTGCATTTTACTGGCGCATTCGCGAACCACCAATGAACAACGTTAAATCAAACTACACCTCTGTCCAATCATTTCCCACTATGTGATTACGGAAATGTCCGAGGTAAAAAATTAGTTATTGTTTGCTTCAGATAGATAGCTTACTTTTAATCAACTGATTATCGATGTGTATTATATCAGGTCTGATCAGGTATGCTTGATTATGAAAATTTCCCATTCAGTAATAGTGGATAACGTTAACTTCATAGTTAAAGCCATTGTAGTAACAAACCCAACCGAGTGAATGAAATTGGAGCGATTTTTATTACGCTAGTATAGTATTCGTCAGTAGAAACAAAAATGTAAATGAATCGATACCAGTGAAGCAGGCATTCAAAGTTAGTAAACAGATTAGAATCTTATTTGATGAGCTCCTTTATTGACTCATTGAAATCGAGGAACTATTTTGGTGTGTTTATTTTCCTCTTATCTCGTACCTAAGCCTAATGAAGCGTAAAGTGGAATATTCCATTCTCTATTGGGTATACCTTCTGGTGTTTTCTTAAATAAGGGACCTTCAAGGCGCTTAATTTTGCGTCATTCGCTATTTTAGATTTTGGATATTACAAATTATTTAGTTATTTCAAATGGCAGGCGTTTTGATAATTACAACTAGATCTTTAGCTGACTTCGGGAATCACAGAGAGGATGAGGAACATCAAAGTGGCAAAAAGTCGAGAGGGGGGAACATAAGAATAATTCACAGATGTTAAAGAGACAGACAGACACAAAGGCTCAGATAGGGGTCGAATATGACTTGCAATCGGGCCATGGCAGTTTAAAGTCCGAATTCAACTGTCGGTTTATAGACTTTTTAGCCGTATGTGTATACGTTGCTCAGGGTGCACCACATGAGGTAAGTCTATCGCATACCCCTATATTGCAAATCATAACTGTTGACCAAGCATATTTGCTGGCCTCAATAGGTTTTGAAGTTAAGTCTGAGTTACCAACGTCTCTATCGTAAGATTTGCACTTCCTTATTATCAACGCAATAATCTTGTGGTCGATGTGATGATAATCCAATGTTATCATCCACATTTCTTCTTCGCCTTAGGGAGGCAAAGTGTCTTTACAGACAATTAAGGTCACAACGTGACAAGAAACCGCCTCCACTTTTATTTAGCCGCTCACAGTTGAAACAAAAACAAACAATACCCCGGTAGGGTTGCCTAATCACAGAAGCAAATCGAAGTGCTTAAGTGCACTTGGATATCGTGAACATATCCTCTTCAAGGAATTTGGGAGTCAGTTTAAGAAACTGCAAAATTTAACAATTATCTTTACTTCTTATGTGAATACGAGGATTTCATGGCTTCCATTATTCAATCAAAGCCAGACTTGTAATGCTTTGACTCCGCAATTTGACCTTTCATCGGCACTATTGTGATCAATGGTATGATAGACTTTGTACATTTCACTAGACAATTCTAACGACATTTAATACTCTAATTATCTTCTATTTAGAGTCCTTTCCATTATTCACAATTTGCTGCCCTACAGTTTGCCATAAGCCACTCATGAAGCGAGAGTTGACATTGGGACCTAACCTTACACCTTCTTACCCAGAAGTGCACAACTGACCTATCATCGAATTTGGAAAAATTGTTGCAATTCAACTTAATTTTAACAAAATTCTTGGAAATGTATGTAAAAGATAGTAAAATTACTTTCTGTGCGTAGAAAAACTTACACTGATTTACGTTTAATTTAAAAGGTTTGAAGCCTTTATAGATAAGAATCATATTTCTGAGTTAAGCAGCATTATCAAATTAGTACTTTTAAACACAGTCGGCCATTATCTTATCATCTTGAAAATGAACAAAGGCTTTATCAGGTTCGTTACAAATCGTAAGAATGGACTATAATGGGCATTCAATGGAGAAGTTTTAAAAAAATTGAATTAAACTTGATCAACTTTGAATTTCCTCGTTTTGAGAGGTTCACAGATATCTATCCGAATAGTTAGCTAGGAAAATAATCAAATAACGAGCTATTTTTTGCTTTAATTTCAAATGAGCAAACCTAATCTTTGGATTTATTACCTTAGATGCGTAAAAGCGTATTCGACAACCAAAAGCCAAATTCTGGCTTATGGTAACCCGTACGTGCGGTTTAAACATTGTTTAATCAAAATATGTCTGGTAGACAAAAGAACTATGCTGTATTAAAAAGAAACAGTCGTGTTACGCGGTTGCAACCGTTTATCAAATTCCGAATTCTGTGTACACGTGAGTTTTTGAAGATACAGACGCCGTAAACTAAGATTCAGTTGTTTTAACTTAAATTTTTATTTAATTAGCATAAATTACGCTGGTTTTCAATAGATACTCCTTTTATACACGTAATGAACTTGTAATTTTATTCATTGAGGTTGCTTGCTCAAGTTCTATTCAAGCAAAATCAGGAATGGTGTTACAACATTATCGCATTTTTTCGGATGGCTAGATTGAGAAAAATAGGAAATAATTTTATGTTTTCTGAAATTGCACCTAAGAAAAGAGCCTTATGTGAGACTTTCAATGGTAAAATTATAGCAGCCTTAAGATATTTCATTAAGGCTAATTAAACAAATAATTCTTTTTCAAGGTTTTTTTTAACAGTTAAGCTTAGTTAAATTATTGTTACACTTCTAAGTGAAATGCTTTATTTGTAAAAAAATGTCATGTTTAATTGGAGTAGCCTTTTTATATTTACAATCACCACGGTTCATTAATCGCAAGTTTAGTTACTAATGCGGCAAACAGG